GTGGCATACTAAATGATTTCTTTAAACAATCTAGGTGTTGTTCAAGGAATGATAACAGGAATTCGAGGATTGTGCAATGGTCTGGGACCAGCCCTTTATGGATTTATTTTCTACATCTTCCACGTGGAACTTAAAGAACTGCCAATAACAGGAACAGATTTGGGGACAAACACAAGTCCTCAGCACCACTTTGAACAGGTAATTTCTTCTTTCACATATTTATTTGGCCAGAAAAGATTGTATTTTTTGATCATAAAAGCTTTTGAGGGGCTGGAGTCGTGGCTCAGTGGTAGAGTCCTCTCCTAGCATATATGAGGCACCACATTAAAAAATAAATAAAGATATTGTGTCCGTCTACAACTTAAAAAAAAAAAAACTTTTGAGATTCTTATAACTTTTGACATTTAAAACTCAAGTCTAAAAGACTGTTCTCTTTGTGAAATTATGCAAACCTTCAACTTTTCCTTTGCTTACATTTCTTTTATTGTTTATTACATCACTTCAAATTAATCTTAAATTTTCACTTAAAAAGTTGTAATCAATAATGCATGATACAGTTTTTACATGTGAAAGAGTCACTCTTTACTTTTCCAGGAAAAAAATAACTTAATGCCCACATTTTTTTCTCCTTTGAATTTCCAAGCTTAGTACCTTTTCATGACAAAATTCTTTTTATTGACAGAGTCTATTCAAATATCATTACACGCTTCAGGCCGTGATATAAAAATATATCACAACTGCCATTCTCTGTGCATACCTTTTTCAAGAATGAAAAATTATCCTGGTTTGCCAAATCTACATCTAATGGCACATGTTAGTCATTTCTCTACAATGCTGCTATGTTTCCTGAGTCCTCTGTGATATCCCAGTTCCCTGTATTCAGCAGCCTTCTGAACAGAAAGTCAGTTACATGGGTCTTTGTTCATTTGTTTGAGTTTCCTTCCTTACACCTAAAAAACGTGAGAGCCAAGCATCATTGATCATTCTAGCCAATAGAAACGGCTCCCTGGCTTCCTCACAGCATTAACCTTAAAACCAGCCAAGCCTACTTTTTTCTTGTGGGCCACATAAAAGTACAATCAGCAGTGTAAGTTTTTGCTAAGAATAAATGTAATTTGGGGATAATTTAAAATTCTGTTTCTTTTCATGGTAATAGCATTACCTGTGTTTTTCTAACTTTCAGTCATTTGAGCATATAATTACTTTTCTAAAACGAAGAAAATGGTAACTGATTCTACCACTGTAGTTATTAATATTATATGCTACCTAATTGTACTTTTGAGATAATGGTTTTCCAGGACTAACAAATTAAGTGAGGACTCTAGAACCTGTTTCATATTTTGTACTAAAAGTTATGGCATTTTTGTATAGGCTTTTTTGCCAGTTGTTATTCCCAGAATTTTATAGTGAGAGTTTAAGTGCCACTTTTCTCTGGAAAACAGAATGCATTTTATAACTGTGGCTTTCATGAAGAATTGAGTCATTGGCTTGTAACTGATAGCAGTTATTACTTTAAAAAAAAAAAAAAAAAGCAATTTCTGAAGAACAAGAGTATTTGTACAAAAATCCTAATTGTTCTTTTCTTCCTCAGAATTCCATAATCCCTGGCCCCCCCTTTCTCTTTGGAGCCTGTTCGGTACTGCTGGCTCTGCTTGTTGCCTTGTTTATTCCAGAACATACCAATTTAAGCTTACGGTCCAGCAGTTGGAGAAAGCACTGTGGCAGTCACAGCCATCCTCATAGTACACAAGCGCCAGGAGAGGCCAAAGAACCTTTACTCCAGGACACAAATGTGTGATGACTGAAATCAGGAAGATTTTTCTATCAGCACCCAGGTCTTAGTTTTCACCTGTAGTTCTGGATGTACATTCCATCTCCATCTGCAGTGTACTTTAAGATTGTCTTAAGAAATTATCTGCATGAACTCCGTGGGAACTAAAGAAGGAACCGGACAGTTTTCCAAAGATGTTACAATTTCTTTTGAAAAGAAACCTTTTGTTTATTAGCACCAATTTCTTGCCACTAAACTGTTTTATTATACATCCTTTAATTAAAAACTATATATGTAAACTTCTTAGATATTAGCATATGTCTCTGCTACCATTTCCTTAAGGTGTTGAGCTTTAACTCTATTTATGCTGACTCTCAGAGTAGATAGTATGGTTGTGGACCTGTTCATTTTAACATTGTAAAATCGAGTCAGATTTTAATATTGTAAAATCTTGGGTCAAATAATTCAAAGCCTTAATGCAGATGCACTAAAATAAAGAAATGATAAATGAATTGTTTGCATTTAAAAAAAAACTTAAAATTGTACTAAAATCTGAATCATGTTTCAAGCTTGTTTGCAATAATTTTATTTTAAGCATATTCACTACTGTTTTTGAAGTGAAAAAATATCAGCCATTTAGAATTTAAATTGGGGTGGTTAGAGCCTGTAATTCTAAAAATGCTGGCTCAGATTTGTTCCCCAGCTTCTTCTTATACCACTATTCTTTTAATGTTTGCATAATCATAAAAACCTCAACACTTGAATACATAATCTAAAATTATATAGCAAAGCTGGTAGCCTTGAAAATGTCAATGTGATATCTATATGTAGATAAATATATATAGTGGCCTTTCAGGACTGTCACAGTAACACTTTATTTACAGAGCTAATGTTTGTCCTAAATTTTCAGGACCCTAGAAGAGAGCTTTATACAATTACTGATGTGAATTTCTCTAAAGTGTATATTTTTGTGTCCAGTTATATTATTTAAAAAAGTGTTACTTTGTAAAAATTGTACATAAAGTATTGTATAGTTTACACTGTTTTCATCTTGTGTGTGGTTATTGCCTAATGCTTTTTAAACCTGGAACATTCACTATGGTTAAATAAGGTCTTAAAAATGTAAATATTCTGTTAATAAAATTAAATATTTTAATGATTTTTTTTAAAAAAGTCTTGATCTGTGAGTCCAGATACAGCCGGTTTTAGCTTTGTTACCATGATCACTTTTATACTAACAAGTCAAAGACTTAACCTTTCTCTGAATCATTCCTTTTCATTCACTATACAATGCAAGTGTACTTTGATTTTCCAAACAGATCAAATTCTGTTTCTTTTTCTACATGCCTTTTACATATCATACTCCCAAAGTAATTTTATTTTATTATTTTATTTTTACGTAATGCTGAGGATCGAACCCAGTGCCTCACACATGCTAGGTGAGCACTCTACCACTAAGCCACAGGCCCAGCCCTCCCAAAGTAATTTTAATACTTTATTAACAAAGCTCAGTTTATAGAAATAACATTAAATGTAACCTTTGGATTATTAACACATGTACAATTTTATACTGGAAAAAAATTTCAAATAAAAGAGGTAGAACAAAAAATTAGCACTCAGAAGTCTACATATATACATTTAATACAAACAAGTCTTTAGTAAGTTAATGTCAGAATGATCTCTATCCTATCTTAGAAATTCAATTTCAATTTATGTATATGGAAAAAGACATATTAAAAAACAAACGCTACCTGTGGGTCATATATTCCATCCAAACCCTGTCACAGTGGTTTTTTATATATATTACATAGTATTTACAACAAAGCAGATTCCTGTTACCAAAAGACTTCTTTCCAGAATAATAAATGCTTTCAAGTTATTGTAACTTGAGTATTCTTACTAATATAGTATATCTAATAGAGGGAGAAAAAAGTTGCTACCTAATACTAGTTACTCAATATTCTGTTTAGATCCCTGACTTAAAGACAATTGCCAGCAATTTCAAAGTATACGTATTTTTAAAATATTTAGCAACAATACTTATGAACCCAGTGATATAGGTATGTCATTATTTTAAAATGTCTCTTTGCTCAGTTGTGTAAAAAAGAACTTGAAAATAATTTTTAAACTATCACAAGCAATGAGTTTCAAAATTTGCAAACAAATTTAGATTATTTTTGAGAATGTACTCTGTATTGGATGGTTGTCAACAAGAAGATAATGGGCCCTATGATCCTGGGTGAATTTTTTTTAATCACCTAATTTTTTTCCATAGGAATTGTTCTTAACCTGAAACTTTTAGTAATGGGGAAGAGAAGAAAGTTTTAACAGTTTTGTCTACTTTGTCAAGTAAACATTAAAAGGAACCCATGTTTTGGTATTTTAGAAACAAGGACAATGAATATCCATGATGCACTTCTAGTAAAGATTTTGTATGGAGCTATTGAAACCAAATCCCACTGATACAGATTTAACTGCATAACAATAAAACTCCCAATTAAGGAGAAGAATAGGATGGGTATAAACTTAAAGAAAACACTAAAATCCTATAAATGTTTCAGCTCCAGTGTAAAGCACCATATACTAATTTGGTCATGTAAAAATATTATCCAAATTATTTATTTTTCTAATGTGCTGGGGATTGAACCCAGAGCCTTATGCATAGGCAAGCCTTTTACCACCAAGCTACTTCCTAGCCCTTTTATTTTTTTTTTTGACACAGGGTCTCACCAAATTGCCCATGCTGGCCTCGAACTTGTGATCTTCCTGCCTCAGCCTCCGGAGTAGCTGGGAATGCAGGCATGTGCCACCACACCTGGCCTAATAAGCACATCAAAAGTTATTTAACAGACTTAACTGCTAACTTAAATGTTACAAGAAAAATACTCATATTTGCTTGCTATGAAGGTTTAATTCATTTCACTCACTTAAGGTAGCTTTAGGACTTTTCCCTTAATGTCAATATCAATAATAGAGATAATCTTAAGAGAAAATCATTTTTCCTCATAATCCTCAGGTGGCAAACTTAAAACATTTTATCAATGAAAACAATAAACTGAATTATTAGCATTCTTTGGTTTCTTTCATAGTATTATTTTCTTGTGCAGGCTGCAATTTACTCAGACCTTCTAAATGATTAGAATATCCTCTATAAGGATCATCTCTCCCCTTAGAACTGAAATCTAATAATTAGTTTAAAATTCATCCTGTTATTTTGTAAAACAACATGTTTACAGACCAAAATATCTTTTACTCAGCATCTTTACCAATCCCTGAATACAAATTTATTTCTTTTTTAACTGTGTGCTGTAAATCCAGTAGTAGAATTAAGGATCTAAATAGTCTAATGGTAGATAGCTCAAGTAAAATCTGAAACTTGCCTGGTTAGGATTTGACTTCTGCCTGTTAGGATATTTTTAAAACACCTGAGTTTCTGAAATGTCAATAGAAAGTAAAAAGACAATGCTAGAATTAACTGTTTGGTAACTGCCCAGGAAAATAGGCTGAAGATGTAGAGGGGAGCACTGCAGGTTTGGAAGATGTCTGCATCACTCCTAGACTGCCATCTTTCTGATGATCTGCAAATGAAACAACAAAGATTATCACTTTAGTCTTTATGCATACACACTACAAAAAATTCAGTCCAGAAATGTCTTTTCTCACCTGAATTACTAAACAGATTCTGGCTTAGTCCACGTAAAGGAATGCTATCTTCTCTTTTCTTCAAGTATTTAGATTCCAATCCTAAATTTTCACCACTTAAAAAAAACATATATTATTTTTTCAAAGTCTGATTTTTTTCTTTATTAGTTAATTTTTAAGGTTTGCCTAATGTATCTACACAAACAAGTTTAGCATCCCTAATCCAAAACTCTGAAGAGTTTCAAAATTTGAAAATTTTTGAGCACTGACATGATGTTACCAATGAAAAATTCTAACTTCCTGTGATGAGTCACAGTCAAAACAGACTAAAAATGCCACATAGAATTACCTTCAGGCCATTATAAATTAAGAAACAATGAATTCTGTATTTACATTGGATCCTATCCCCAAGATACCTCATTGTGTATAGAAAATATTTCAAAACCCCCAAAATACTGAAATGAGAAAACTTCAGTTTCCAAGCATTTTGGATACTTAGCCTGTACTATATATAACTGGGCTGGGGTTATAGCTCAGTGGTAGAGACTTGCTAGCCTGTGAAAAACCCTGGATTTAATATCTAGCATCACACACACACAAAATGTGTAACTGAGTTGTAATTTATGGCTATGGTTCAGAATACATTCTTTACTGTTTCTTAAAAAATATAATTTATCTGTATATAATCAAAGTATCCCTGTTCCTAATGAGTAAATTATAATAAACTAAGAGCTGGAATAAGAACTGTGAGCAAAATAAAAATAATCCTAAGAGCACCATAAAATTTTGTAAAAGCACACAAGTGACAGATATTAGAAATAAAATAAATATGTACATGCCTTGAGAATCATTTAATTACTTACTTACTATCTCATGCTATTTAAAATAAATTAAGATTGCGTTTTCCTTTAACCAAAAGCACTTCAAGGCCAGTGGTAGAGAAATTTCAAAAAAAAAAGGCGGGGGGGGATATTTTGGTATTTTGCCCCTTTCTACCATGCATTCCTTCTAAAATTTTGATAGTATTAACAATTGCCCCAGTAGTATACTTTTAGTCAGAATTTAAAGGATCTTACAAAATAATGAATCCTTAAAATTAAATGATGGTCTTTTCCCAATGTGTAGAAAATAAAGTTTTCTAGGTTTATTTTTTCAATTTTAACTTAATTTTTTTCTTTAATACTCATTGCCACTTTTTGTTAGCTGACAACAAATAAAACAACAAACCACTTCTAAACAAAAAAATGAAAATCACTGAAGAGTCTCAATTTTATTGTCAGATGATATTTGATATTGTGAATGACTGTCATGTTTTCTGCTAGTAAAGTTGCTCTCAGTGTAAATGATGAATTAAATATACAAACATTATGGTTTTCTACCATTAATATGAATTCCAGGTGCTCTGCCTTATGAGCAAGTGTAAAATTAGATATAATAAATACATACATTATCAGAAACTCACACAATTCTGATCTTCATTAACTATTTTAATATTCATCCTGGTGACAACTGGGATAAGATCCCTTAGTGAGGTTTGGCGCTATGGCTCAGCGGTAGCGCACTTTGCCTGCCATGTGTGAGGCACTGGATTTGAGTCTCAGCACCACATATAAATAAATAAAATAGAGGTCTATCAACAACTAAAAAAAAAATATATTAAAAAAAAAAGAACCCTTAGTGAACTATGTTAGTAACTGAGTTTGCAATATATTAGAATAGTGGATAGCTCATAGCAGGTTTTACAAACACTAAATCTGAAGTAAATAAACAACCATAATTATTTTGTTTTAAAAAACAACAAACATGAAGACTATCTAGAGAAAAAAGTATGCATGGAGAGTTGATTAATTAAGCCACACGTCACTGATTCAAAAATGTACTGTGTGAAACCTAAAAAATAAGGAAGGAATCTCTGAGCAGGCAAAACACAAACCACAAACTGGTGCTCAATTTTTTTAGGTAACCTAGTGGTCAATCTTACAAACTTTTTTACTTTTATTCACCATGTAATTCTAGTAGATTAACCAGTTAGTTTCTTAGATTATACTAGAAGCAATAAATCAGAAAAATGAAGAGCACCCAGGACAAACAAAGCCACACAGGAAAAACAAAACAACTGACTTTAGAGGAATTAAAGATTCCTGTGTACATGCCCAAGAATACATATGAAAGCAATCTTCATTTGTGTAAGAAAATCTCTTTTATGTCTATTATATGCCTATCCCACAGCTTGCAAATACATATGAGAAAGCACTTGTCATAGTTCAAAGTGACTCAAGCATCTTAAAAGGCCTCAGATAAAATAGGGGGCATCATTGATTAAAAATTCATTCAAAACTACAAACAATAAATTTTATGTCAATAAATACTTACTTTTCCTTATCAGTTGAGCAAGGCACATTAACAGTTGCTCCTGACTGAACATCTCCTAGTGATATATTTGGTTTTGTAAACTGCAAGTTAAACTGAACCTGTAAAGAGGAAAAACATCTCATATAACTGATTTAGTAAAAACTGAAACAAGGAAGATGGCCGCTGCGTACGGGGGTTGCTGAAGTGCTGAGCGTGGTGCTCAGAGCAGCGGCTTTAATCGAGATTTCGCGCAGCTTGTTAGAGCTCCTTTCACCGTTAATCTGTAGCGGACCACTTGCCAAGCAGCAGGAAGAACAAAGACATCGAAAAAGAGACGCTTGGCTGCTCAGAGCCGCGGGCGCTTTGCTCCCATCTGCTTCCTCTTTCGCTTCGCTCCGGGCAGAGAAGCTGAATGTGTAATCAGCAGTGGATTGTAAGTACCTGAGGCAAAGAAAGCTCAGTGCGCCCCGCCCTTTTTTTTTTTTTTTAATATTTTTTATACAGGGAGAGTTTGTGGATTGGGATTGTTGGCTGGGCTGTGGTTTCTGTGCCGAAAATCCACTACGCGGGAGCCGCCATTTGCTTTCTGCTGGCTGTCTTGATGGCTCTGTCTACATTGTCCGGCAGCCACATCTAGAGGTTGGAGCTGGGCTGCGTGCCGAGCCCTGTCCTCCGAAGGCTGGACCGCGGCCTCGAGCGCCTTGGTCGCCTGTTCGCCGCTGCACCTTCGGGCAGAGCCTGCTCTGGGGTTGTTCTGCATCCCCCTGCGAAGGGACCCGTGCTCTGGAGGAGGGGGCCGGAGAGCCGTGGCGGCAGCCGCTTGGGCCCCAGGGGCCGGGCACCGGGCTGAGGAGCGGCGGAGGCCGCGGCGGCTCCACTATGGTCGCAGATGAGCGTGGCACCCGTGAGCGCGGCCCAGAGGCAGAGGCAGAGGCGGAGGCGACGGCGGCAGGGTTTAATTTCTAGAAATCTGGACTGGAAACAGAAGCAGCAGTTTGTATAATCCCAAGAACTTGCTTATGCCAGGAAGCTGTAAGGGTAACATGAATATCATTGAGGAGATCTAACATGGTGGCGGGCGAGGAGAGATCAAGTTTCTGACATCTTCAACTGCGCGGGCATAGGGAGCTGTAAACTGTCTAAATGCTGTTTGCTCAGGATCACTAGGCAATGCTGAGCTGACGTGGATCTGGGGCGTACAGTCTGGGCCCCTCAGAACACACACACCGAGCCCGGATCGGCTGCATTCAAGCTCCGGTTCGCCTGCTTCTCATGACTCAGCACTAACGATCCCGCTGAAATAACTGGTCGGCCCTTATGAACTTACAGAGGTAAAAGACAACCGAGCCTTCATAGGCAGTGGCCACAGGATTGAAACGGGGATTAGGAGAGACAGTCAGGACCCACCCGTTGCATTGGTCACCCGGCAAAGGGAACGAACGGTCACCATTTGCATGGGATACCACCTTGGCAGAGAACTGACATAACGGGCGGAGGAGATAACTGCATTGAAACCAGCGCGACAGGTGTGTAATCCCCTAGCCATCTCTCTCCACACAGCGGGGAAACCTTAAGGGCCCCTCCCAGCTCTCCTGTGAGCGCAATAGCCAGACCCAGGGAATCAGGAGTGGTGCGGGACTCGCGGCGTGCAACTCCCGGCTACCGCTCCAACCAGTGCTGACAACTGAGGTCTCTTGCACCAGCTACCAGGGGCGTGGCTACCGGAGGGCAAGCAAATTCGCTGGGGGTTCTCAGCCCCAAGCTGTGTGTAGCCAGTATTGTGGTGAGCGTCACAGGTGAGCGCGGCCTGGCTTGAGGAAACACAAGAGAAGGCCCTAGACACTCAGGTTTGGAGACCCGCCCAGTCTGGGAGAAAGAGCTGCTGCACAGTGAATGGTTCCCACCTATTGAGAGGAGAAGCTTGGCCCAGTGGGCACAGCTCCACCTACTGGAAGAGAAGTTAATCGAACTCTAGGACTGCATTTATTATTATTATTATTATTATTATTATTATTATCATTTTTTTTCTTTTTCTTCTTTTTCTTTCATTTTCAATTTTTATTTGTTGTTGTTCTTTAACTTTTTTTTCAATGTTTTTAATTTTTTTATTTTATTATTATTATTTTTTAATTTTAATTTTCATTTTTTATTATCATTATTATTTTTGTAAAAAAAAATTTT